ATGAGCTATGGGATAAAAGCTAAGAGCGGTCTGATACGAGAAGATTCTACTTGCAGCCTATCCAAGTACTAAATGATCATCAGTGCAGCCGCAGCTACGGCTCGCGCCGTGGAAATTCCAAACCCTAGCCGGCCAAGTAGAGTCCGGCTTCTCCAACACGCTCAAGGCTAGAGAAAAGTGTCTCAGTGCGTGGCCAGATGTTGGAGATGCTGCTTTCGGAGGGAGTACGTGTCTGGCAGTGGAGTGGTCCTCACTTTGCAGTCGGAATTTCGCTCGTTATCTGTCCAAGTGGGATGATGAGACTGCGCAAAGGAAGCCGCCATGGATGTCTGATCAATTGGGAGAACGTCTACCGGTGTTTGCTGCGCTCGACGACAATATCCCTGTCACGACGACGTGGATAGACCGAGTTGATATGAAGGCCGAGTCGGACAAGGCTGGCAGAATAGGTATGTAGTCCTGCGCAGAAACATTGTCTTGCAGCACAACCCAGGTGGAGTTCTCTCATCGTCATACCAATGCTTCCTTGCCATCTCTAATTCCAAATAGTCAACAACATCACCATAGCTGTCCCGCATAGAGGTGTTCCAGCGGCAGCCCGACATCCACAGAACAATTTACTCCAGCCGGAGGTGAGTAACTCACGGCCACTTTATCAATGTCCTTGACACTGTTTCCAGGATCTCCAAGGTGGTGGCGGTTCCTACACCGTACGCGCCTCAGTCGCGAGCTTCGCCCTCAATGTACTCTGCGTCAACGCCAAACGCGAGGAACTCGAGCCAATCGTGTACGAGACGTGGCCGAACGCGGTGAAGATGGAGAATACTTCCATGGCGGTCAATTACTGGCCCATCCAAGCATTTCCAGACGGCACGAATGCCAACAACATGACCGTTCTCGATGGCGTGTTCGGCTGGCGCAACGAAGACGAAGAAAATACGCAAGCGAGGCCAGGTAACAGTTGCCCGTTTTTTCTTCCAGTATTATACAACATCCCCGCTAACGCATCCTGCAGTGTTTCTAAAGTTTCCAAAAGATGCAAATACCGTCAGTCTACCACGACACCCACCTCCCTTCCATCTTGCTCACCAGACCACTAGCTTGCAAACCACACCTCCACTGGCCCTCGCCCAGCAGCCTATCTCCTCGGCAAAGCACCAGATGCTACCACAAACGACTACTTCCTCTGCTCCATGAAAACCAGCATCACAACAACATGCACTACCCGCTACAACGCCTCCTCCCAGGGCCAGAGCCTAGAAGCCCTCTGCGAAAACGACGGCAAATGGCACGACGACGATGCGCCCACCGCATCGGCATCTCAAGGCGATAGAGTGGCGCTGAGCGGCTGGCTAGACATGGCCTTTGACCTGCTCAACTCCATCAGCCTCAACAACGGCGTCTTTGACGGCGACGCAAGCACGGCTAGGATACTGACGCAATTGCAACTCCGCGAGCCGGTGCTGAATCAGACTCTGCCTAGTCCTGCCGAGGCGTTGGCGTCCATTATGATGTGTACCGTGCTTGATCTCACGCAGAATTTTCCGTTTACAGTGGCCCAGGTAGGTTGATTCATCATTTTCTTCATGTTTGAACACATGCCCATGATGCCACTGGCATCCAAAATCCCCCACAATCGAAATGCCTGCACTCGTCCAACGCCAACCAGAAAGCCCAGACTCCAAACTCGTCCTCCACACCCAACACAGCCCAACTAGAATACTTCAACGCCTGGGTCCGCGTAGCACAATACATGTCCGGCGGCGAAAAACCCTACCAAAAGGTCCGTACAGGCAAAATCTTTTCCCAACTTTTCCCCCCAAAATAATAAAAATACACCAAAGCAAACAATATCTAACGCCGCCGACCCCCAGGCCTTCCTCCCCGTCCTATCCCTAACCCTCGTCCTAAATATCTTCATCCTCCTCTACCTCGCCTTCGTCCTCCGCATCCGCCTCGTCACCGATCTCTGCGAGCCCCTTGTCCTCTTCATCGTCGGATACCGTTCTCCGCCCGGTTCGCTGTTCGGGCAAGATGCGCTGCAGGGGCCCGGGAGGGCGGACTGGGCGCGCGCGTGGAGGGTTGGGCGGGAGGGGGGGCAGACGGGGGTGGTGGGTGTTGATGGGGTGGGTGGTGGTGTTGGTGGCGTAGGGGCTTTTGGGTTTGCGTGCGCCAGCTGATACATGGAAGCTGCTTGGTTTCGCTCCCAGAGGACCCACTGTCTGTCTCGGCCCACGCTGAACAGATACTTGTCGTCAGGGGAGAATTGTAATGCGGTGACGGTGAGGGAATGTGCTTTTAGTGCGGGTTTGACTTCCAGCCAGTCTTTTGTGTCGTAT